CGTTTCACAAATGAAATGAAACTGTACAAGGGCTGACCAAACAATTTACATTAGAGACCAACTCCTTAACCATAATGCACTTTAGAAGTAATATTACTGGCTTTCAAAAACATTTGCGTGCACCAGATAAAATGGGAAATGCATTGCTGTTGCTTGCACGGGCTGTATAGGCGCAAAATAGAAACCTGAAAATAATTCATTATGTTAGGAAGGAAATGACCCACTTATTTGAAAAAAGTGCTGTACTTCACTATATTCATTACTAAAACTCGGGAAATGCCACGAATTATGAAAATTAGTTACATCCTTATGGGATTTGTATAACGTCCGGCAACGACATTGTCTTAGAAAGGAAAATATCTGGAATTATGGATGGCGGAAGGTGGAAACATTCTGTTCACAGTATAAATCAATACATATTTGCATTCATGGTGTATATTTAGACTGACTAACCCCCCACTGAAAAAACTACGGGGAGCAGACCCGTAACATAAAACTAACTCAATCACAATCAAATTAGGCTTAAATCAAGTTGGAACAACATGACCTTTTCAAACGAACAAGATGAACACGCAGTTGTTTTAACTTTATTTCCCATCACAAGTAATGCGTGCTTGATCCATCAGAAGTTGCTCAGTGATGTTGTAGCCTCTGCTCTTGAAATAGAGAAATTGGTCATTTACCATATAAATTAACACTTTCCTGAAATGTTACGTTTAATTATTGCCATTTTGTAAAGGTATTTTATGTACAGGGTGGCAATTGAGTTTGATGAGTGGCATTTTACCAAATGTCCAAGCTTTACATATCACCAAAATGGAGATGAAAGTTGTTCGCGGAGCACCACGCTAGTTATAAAGTTATAAAACAACTGTGCTGATACTCAGGATGAAAAAAAAAACATTTTCCGATCATTCACAACAATGGTCCAGCAAGATGTAGAAATCCTTTACACAAAATGCATCTATCTCTCCCTCTCTCTCTCTCTCTCTCTCTCTCTCTCTCTCGCAACGTCTCTCTTGTGCATATTGGCTAGTGAATACAATTACTTAATCACAACCAGACAACATGTGCCAGAATGTTGGCAAAACAGTAAACAAGGTATCGGGCTTTTGAAAAGATGGTCGACCTTACAAGCCCAGTTTATTGCAAGAATGATCAACGACGCACCTTAAATAACACCGAAGATCGAATGTTAACTACAGGCGAAATAGCAGGGTAATGTGAAGCCGTCAATTCAATTCATCTTTTGGCCCATTATCTCACCTGAAAGTTGCCCAATTTGTGCCCGATGTGAGAGGTGTACATCGCAGTGGTTTAGACATGGATTAAAGGATAAAGTGGAGCTAATAGGCAAGGTTAATGGTAGAGGCGCGACCCTCTAGGCGACTGACGTCAAATGGGTTCCATTATTACAATGGCGGACGCAGTGCCGTGATTAAAACACCCTCAAGGTATAAGTATTAGTGACCGAAAAGATTACCTTCTGCTCGCCGCTTTATTGGTATATTGGGAGGCAATACAGGATGTATAGGTCCCTAAAAGTGAAACCAGCCTTGTCATAAATATTACTTGGGTATACCAGAATTACAAGGTACAAACCTCCCACCTGTTCCAGCTCATTAGGTTGAAATACTTTTTTGCTTTCAATTTACAACATCTTGTTCTTAAAAATCTGGTATACATGAAATGAACAGACAACGTATCACAGAGCACGTTTAGTCGCACACGGACAGATAAGCCACAACTCAATTTTCTGTACTCTTCAATTTGCATTCCTTTGTGAAGAAAATTCCAGGATACTTAGAAACAGATGCAACATTTCAACAGACATGGACCCGAAAGGTTAAATTATTGGTACAGGCTTATATGACATGGAATGGTCACAGTTTCTGGACTACTTTTACATCACACATTGCTGTCACCGAACCAGATCAAAGACAGGCTAGATATATAGAGAATATTTATCAAAAAGCTGTTTACATGTTTATGTAACAGACAGCACTCGACGGAAGAATTGCATAATAATTTTGGACAACATATTACATATCGTATCATCATAAAGAATGTGTTTTCGTGTCACACGTTTGCTAAATTGCACAGAAGGTCAATAACGTTATTATTGGCAGAGCAAGTCAAAAATAGAAACACTGACAGACATAATAAGATTATGCAAAGGTGTTTATTTTGTAACACGGTTTTGTAAATCAATCTTGTGAAATATGAGCTATCGTGACACGTGAGCTAAAGTTCGCAGAAAGTCAATAACGCTATTTCGGCAACGCAAACCCAAAATGGAAACATTGGCAAATAATGAAGAAATTATTCAACAGTTTTTTTGTTTTGTAACATCAATATTGTCTGGAACATAGGTGGCCATTTGAACTTTAAATATTCCATCTGATAATTCGAATGTCAACCTTCTTCATATGTTGTGCATTTTTTAATTTTTAAATTCAGACTTAAGTTGGATTTTGAAAGGTACAATAAGGAGGTTTCTGCAGACCCTGACCTACAGACGGTCTGAAAAAGCACACTAGACTAATCCGTCATTTTCTTGCACATTCAGTGCACGCAAACATCTTGGGAACACATATATTTTAGTAATACATGTGAATCTTTTGAAATGAATTCACAAAACATGTCTTTTCACATGAGTTCATCACTTAAAATATAACACCACTTCTGTGAGTCTCCATGTTTGCCGCTCTGGAATCGGGTGTATCTTCAACAGTTTGGAATCGGTTGTACATAAACGAATTTCTCGAATGCGTAAATAGAGGCGTAAGTCAGTTTATGCAGGAAGTGTTAAGTTACATGCCAACAGTTTGTGCAGTGTTAGAACATGTTGAGGCATCCGTTACACCATCTTCTTTCCTCTTCCTTAAGACTCAAAGAACATTTCTGGGGTAATTTGTTAACTTTCGTACCATCGCGAAGTCGCAATTCAATTACGACCATTGTTTTTCCCAGCTTACTAAATTAGTCCGTTAGATCGAAATGTTACTTACCGCTTGGCATTTGTTAATTTGATACAGAGTTGTGCAGTTCATTGTTTTTTATTCAATTCCCCTGGCACTTTCAAATATGCCATCAGCAGTCACATTGCGTGATAAAAATGAGAAATCACTTTTGCAATTTCTTCGGTTTTCTTACACTCCGCCAGCCGTAAGGTCTCACATTAAATCAATACACTCGTGAGGCGAGGAGCAGACCTAACATAACACCAACGGTTCGGAAATACGTGTTAGTTACCTTTTCTAATCTTTGAATACATAGACTTTGGCGATCCCCGCTGGTTGTAATCAAAGGGCAAATACGTAAGCTCAAAACTGTGTACAAAAGGCAAATGTAACGTAATGTAAGCCTACCGTCAGCCTGTCTGGTATACGGTACATTGAGATGTATAGTTATGAACGGCATGTGAAGTGGAACTAACATTTAAAAACATGGTTCCAATAAAAGTTTAGTCAGAAGTTGGTCCGGAAACCAAACCCGAAACATTTGTTCTAATTTTATCCGAATTTTGTCTAAAAATATACCAAAAGTGAATGTAAATTATCTGCCATTTCCTGCTTTCTGCGAAAAAGGCAAGCTATGTTGTAGTTGTGAGCAGCTAACAAATTGACACAGCACCAACTTCACGAAAGAACTTTATGAAGACGATTGGTCCAAAGGTTTGGCCCAAAATTGTTATCTTCTCTGACCCGACCCTCAATACAAAATAATATTTAGTAGTAGTCGAAATAAAATATTATGCCTGTTTTATTACAAGAGTTTTGCGTATATGGAAACAAATAGATTTACCTTGAACAAAAAAAGCAGATCAAAATTTTGGACTAAAAGTCTAGACCAGTTTTGGGGATAAATCTTTATTGTAAAACAGGCGCATGTGTTTACATCGAATGGATGTTGGCATCCCGCTAATGGCGATTGACAAACAGCATCATTCCGGGCGTGAAGACATGTTTGTTTAAGCTTGACAGTTTGAATGAATCAGTCGACTAAAGGAATAATCCGTTTCTTTGTCAAACAAATTCTTTTACACGTTCGAAAATTGCCTTCCATTGAAAGGAGTTTACAATATGTCGCTCATCGTCTCCTCCTAACTACCTCCACACACGTCAATGTCTTTTTATATCCTAGGACGCCTTTCAGACATATATATACGTTCATGTCTGTGCTATCCCATGAAGGTACTTCACGCGTTCTATATTTACGTCTTAATTCAGTGCATTTTTTTCTCTCGCAGAGTTTAAAACATTAGACTATTTTTGTGCTGATGCACGAGCCAGCATTTTTGCTTTAAAGTGTTTTCGTGTATTTTAAAGCTGCCCAGCTTTCATCCTTTTGCACCTCTTAACAGTTAAAACATCGGGTTTCCGCTCTAAAAGCAGCACTTTCCTCTCAAATTTTGTCTGACCAGGCATAAAACATCACTCATCAATTGCAGATTAAAAAATGTTAAACAAAGCAGTTATCATTTTGGAAAATTAATTCTTTGTATTGTCGTAAAACCAAATTAAACGAAATTGTAATGCTTTTTTTTTTTTTTTTTTTAACTTTTTTTATACTTTTTCTGTTCTTGAGAGATATCTGCGGATGCCTCTTGTTGCACCCTATTAATAAATACATGTATACGTAAAAGAACTTCAAACAGACAAAAAATTTTTGTTAAGTAAAATACGTACATGTAGAATGATATTAATTGAAAACACGCCATAACACATTGCGACCTCTGCCAGACCAATTGCACCAGATTCATTTCTAAGAACAAGCACTTTGGAATATTTAATACAAATCTCCGGTCAATGAACCCGAAGCATGCAGACGAACAGCAAATCCAATATAGTACAATTGTGTTTTAACAATGAAATTACGTATTACAGTAAGACATGGCTCTTCAAGCAACTTTCCTTTTATTGCGTGCATGATGAATAAGCTAATTATCAATAATCACATTATTTCATATCGACAGCAGACGTTTGGCCAAGCAAGCCCTCATAATGACATCGTTTTAAAAACTCAGTTTTTTTTCTGTTTACTCACTTTGAGTTTCGTCTCGGATCCAACTATTTCCCTCAAGACATGACGTCACGGTTCACGTTGAGCACGTGACTCCGTGTCGTCTGCCAGCTCTCCTAAAATTAAAGTAAATTAATAAAAATTGTCCGAGTTTTTATAAAACGATGTTATTTCCACAATTCCAGACATGTAAGTTGTTTTAAGAGCACAGCAACTTCCCAATGACAGTTTTGATTAACAACAAGGTTGAGCTATATCTAATATTTTCGAGGTAAGTTCACGTGTGAACAAACAAATAATATATTCTCTATATAAATGTTATTTCTTTCTTTCTTATTCTTAAGAAATCCGTGTTTTAATTCCATTTCATTTACTTTTTGTTCATTTGTTTATTTATCTTTGAAAGAAAAATTATGTGGAAAACACGCGTGGATGCACGTAAAAATCATTTCATGCCCCTGCTCAAACTGCATGTATTCACAGGTATCCACCCAGTGCAAGCATAGCACGGTATTTTCTGAGCGTTTTCTTTAAATATAAAACGTAAAAACATACTTCTCTATTCATAGCTTAGTTTGTTCAAAGAATAAATGGAATGAACCAAAGTCAGGAACATTTTTGAAACTTCAAACACAAGCACCATGTCACACAATGCTGTAAAAGGCAGATCATAAATCTTCCCACCACCTCGGTACATTTCTTCTTTTGATGTGAAAAATGATGGATCTAGATATTATTCGTAAGTATGGATCTCTTTTTCCCATTTACTCCTTGTTACAGGATAATAGATGAAACTAAGGCATCCATTTGTCAGGATTGAAAAGCCTAAACATGACAAGAAGTTGGCACTCTCTTTCCAAGTCGGTCTAATTGGTATGGTTTCGAAGAAATTGATCGGTCGAGCTTTCCATTATGACCTATTAGAAAAATCAGATTACGGGAAAAAGACAAAGGGAAGATGTATATGATAGTTACAGCTGATAAATGAAGTGTTTTTGCCAATATGATACCTACCAGACGATCATATCTAAGACAACATTTACGACGTAACGTTATTAGTAGATAATGGCCGTTATGGGTAATCGGGAAAATTGAACAGTTAAAGTAGGCATATTCACTCTCTCTCTCTCCCTTTCTCTCTCTCTCTCTCTCTCTCTCTCTCTCTCTCACACACACACACACACACACACACACACACAAACAAACACACACACATCCTTAGAAAACAAAAACATGGAAGAAAATGAATTTGTTTCAGCCAGAAAGGTGACCATATAATAAAACTGTCATATAATCAGTCTCACAGTGTCTGCTTTCACCATACACTGCCAAGAACAGAACCGCCTGCGGCTCAAGTCTATCAATAATTCACGATGTTATTCAGACTTGTCCAAAGGACGATGCCCTTTCAGATGTATGGGATTTTAACTTAATCTATAGTCTGCATTTCGCTTGAACCCGAAGTAACCGATTGACCAGTAAGACAAGAGGAAGATCTAATGTACAGAATGGTTCTTGATCGTCCTCACAGCTGGACTACTTTTTGACCGGCAATAGACAAAGTGTCGTCAACGTACTGCTATTATTACTTGCAGTCCTCACAAAATGCGTTTCTTACAGATAATAACTTCGTTGGCATGATTAATTAGATATTGAATATTTTGTTAAAAGAACAGTTTATGATGTAAACCACTAAGCCACCATCGATTTACCAATGGGTGAGCAATAAAAAAGGGGCTCTTCAATTGTAAATCTCTGGCAAGGACGATAAGGTTCGATAGAGAATCATTTTGTTTTAATCAGTGATTTAAGGGAGCGGACACGTCGATCGAAGAATGATAGGTGTAGGTGTTCATTTCATAATTTCATTTGTAAGCGTTTTATTGTGACTGCCATTCTTTTTGAACGCCATTCAATTTTCATCACGATCTGCCAGCCTTTCTGTTTTCTGTTCGAAGTATTAAAATGACATTAATACCTCCTTGTCACTGATGACAACATGTTATACTACCTACCATACTGGTTACCAACTTAGGCATAAAGGTTTGCCTTTGAAATATTCATATCCCTCTTTTAAGTATAGAATGTGTTATTTTTCACGTAGTTAACAGTTATAATTTCTTTATTCCACATGACATTATCCAAATACAACGTTATAAATCCCGTTTCGAATGCGCTTTGTAAGAGAAAGGTTATATCCATCGGCTAAAGATTTTTCAGGATGCATTCTATGCGAGAAAATAAAAAAACCCTCCCGGCTTTAACATTATGGATGCCATTTATGTCCCTCGCAACTTTAAAAAATCATATCCTGTAATGACCTTTAATGTCTTGCTGTAGGAGATTTTAAGAACCGCAAAACGTTCTTTGGGTTCCTCACATCAAACTTAGAATCAGACATCGAATAGATTGAAATATAACATTTGTCAATATGTGTGGTACTTGAAATGGTTCTAGAGACTAGATTTCAATCACACAATGCCACAAAGCACTCTCAAAGTGTAATGCAATAGGATGGTCAACAATCAAATCACTGTTCAACATAAGGTAATGACAGAGGCATTGACACCAATACATTCAGTATGTTTGCTTTAGCTATAACATTCTGATTAAAAGATATAACCCGTTTTCATGCATTTTGATATATCGGTGCGGGCAATTTTTTGCAAAATGATGACTAAAAAGTTGAAAATGCACACTTACCAAGAGTATCTATGTGGTTTGACATCTTCAGCATCACCACAACAAGAATGAAACTAATCAACAAGATGGCCACTGTCACAATTACAATCACACGCACAATAAACTTTCTGTGCTTTTCGGCACTTTTGTCCTCCACCCGGCTCGAGACCGGAAGTGCCACAACGTCCTCCCCGTGAAACCAAGAGTACTTTCGTTTCTTTTTGGGGTGTCTTATGACGTCGTTTTCCTCTTGTTCTTGTTGTTCGTACGAGAGCATCTCTTCGTCCGAGAGAACCTGCTCCGGGCGAAGGACTCCGCAGGTACACACGCCCTCGGTACATGACGGAGCCGGGTACGTGCCTGGAGGGAGCATCAGCATCGCTGTGTAACTTTCGGGTCTCTCCCCGTCCTCTTTGTCCTCGTCCCCCTGGAGGAATACGTGAATGGGACCGATGTCTTCCACGTGGTAGCACGCAAGCACGTGCCTACACTCCCCGTCGATCTCACACGCGCCGGATTCGGGAGGGTCGTAAGGAAGTACCTCAATTGCGTCGTCGTGTGGTAGCATTGTCATTTGCCTTTAAACACGTGGACTGTATTCACTGAATTGCCGCCAACGGCTCCGCTCTCCTGCTTCTCCCAAGTTCCAGAACCGTGTCGCGTGACTCACCTAAATGGAAGTTAGACTATGCAACCTGTGACCGATGCGATCTCGTGAACATTAACCCAAGATTCATTCTTCAGTTTCACCTTGTCCACAATACCTTGCATTGCGGCTATTCAGAGCGATATTGAGCACGTCAATGATATCCGATTGTTGCGTCGACTCTGGAGGTAACGTGGGTTCTGTGCCAATGTACCTACCAACGGAACAAAGAAAAGGAGGTTTATACAGTCATGATTTCCTCTGGGAACTAATGATATTCAACACTCGACTGAGTATATATATAGTCAGTAATCCAAATCTGATACGTGTTTATCGAACGCCATGTAGGCGAACCAAGCGACAGTGTTTAACATTCGCATCGCATGTACGCTGATAAATTAATGAAAGGACTCCAGCATTTAACTGCAAATTGCTTGCCTTACACCACTTTAAGATCGCATAGAAACCTCTATTGACCTGCCGACAATGCCAGAAGCACGGTTCTTGCAATATGAGGTGTGTTGTCTATAACTGTAGGAGGGGCCAGGTATATTATTCATTCCAGTACTTTTAAAAGCGCAATAGAAGAGAATGCTGAATTCAGCGCAGTTACACTCATGTTGAAAACAGACAAAATAAATAGTATAGAATTAATTATTTTTAATTGATTCTATAATATTTCTATTATACAATTAATTATAAATAATCAATTCCATAATATCTCTATTATAGAATCATAGAAATATTATGGAATTAATTATTTATAACAGAATTGTAGGAAGACCAGAAAGACTGCACACATGCACAGTGCACATAGAGTGGCAACACACAATCAATCTACTCTTTTTAATGCATTTCATATTCTTCTTTAACTAAAACGACCGGAAAGGTCTGCTATGTAAACCAAACAATGAAATAATTTCTAATTTAAAGGAAGAACGGAAAGGACAGAAACGAACATGTGCATCTAAAAAGAGGACCTGAACAGGTTCCACAAAAAACACCTTCAGTCTGAAATTGCTTCAATCTTTAAAACCAGATCTGTTGTGCTTTACTTGGACCTAAGATATTCAAATCACATTTTGCGCCTGTTATATAAAAAGAAGGACTTATCCAATGCTTCAAACCAGTACATTTTTAAGTGGAATCTTGTTTTATCTACGTACATCTTGTACGGTGGTTGACCAAAATTTAGTCTTTAATTCAAAGCCAATCTTTTGTGAAACAGTCCCAGGGATTGGGGTGTGGAGAAAATGCGTATCTCGCCCCACACCTCACACACACACACACACACACACACACACACATCGCCCATTCTGTTCCCCACCCCTGCCGTTATTGATTAAAATTACCTGGTGGAGCATCAGCTCAACCAAGAGGTCACGTAATTAGACGTGGACTTTTTACCTTGCAAACTACCTACCTCATATTACTTTCATGTAAAGTGCACATCTACACCCAAACTGACAGAACTTGGAGTTGCCATTAAGTTTGGCACATTGGGGGGCGGAGGGGGGGTACGGGTAGGAGGGAGGGGAGGGGGTGCACTCGAGGTTGAATACAACAATCCATATTCAGGGACGATTTGAGAGATATCGCTGCAATTTAGAAGTAAACTTTTAACAAAGTTAGTCTCTTGCATTACAAAGCCGTCGTATAGGTATAAAAAAATTCTAGTTCAGAGATATTTTTTCAGATTTTGAAAGATGCCAACAAACAAGAATGACATAACTTGATGGTTCCGTCTCTGATCTTTTGGATGCGACATTCTCTTCATTAAACAGCGTTTCTTGGAAGCATGTACGTGGCTTCTTCACGACGTCAAAATTGTTTTTCACGCATTTCCGTTTTGCTGCTGTTAACTAGCTTACAGGTAGCAATTCTTTCTTTTAGAAAATGTCAGGTTTGACGTAACAACAACAGTGACACACATTTTGAATATATGCACATCATGACATATAAAATATTTCAGTTCTTTAAAAAAAACTTCAACTTTACATAAAATCAGTGCCAAGGATAATCATAATACGGCGCACTTGCAAAACAAGTAAAAAGCAAAAGTGTAAATGAATTCTGATGCATGTGCACACAGTACATCAGAGTGATAACGTTTAATGGGTGAACTTTTTTTAATAAAATTGTACTCTCGATATAATAAGTTCATTATAATGTTAACAGGTAAAATATCAGAAATTGGCCGCCCATTTTGGACCACTATAAATATGGCATTCTTCCAAAATGTAGGAGACAGTACGGCATGCTCATTATTTATAATACAGAGAAGCATAAATTCAATCGCTGCGAGTTAATCTCATAGAACGAGTCAGATTTATAGCAACTAGCTTGATGGTGATCATGAGATTGATAAAAGAAGAAGTTACCAAACCGTGCTGCATCACATAAAATGGACACCATTGTTGCCTGTACATGGCATGTACGTCCAGCTTAGAACTTTAAACACAGGCAGTTCTATTGTCTCTGCTATCTATGCCTGCGTGCGTGAATACATTCATAAAACGATAAACTGAAAAATTGGGAAGAGCAAGCATATCTTACCTTTTTGTTCTAATTGCTCTCCTTTCTCAGCTTCCTGGTTCCGTTACTTTTTTCAAGTGCTCTGTGGTGTCACAAAATCTCTGACTTATATACTTCGTATCTTGTCTCCGTCTGACGTGTTGCAAATGAGATATAGAGCATGGACTACCATAGACTTCTCCGTCCGTGCAGTTAAGCGATGCGTGTGTCGGTTACTTAATATCATATATCACGAATTCATTGAATTATCCAACATTATGCACCTGGAGGTAAACACTTCTTGGAATGACTTCCCATTACCAGAACATCGCTTCCCGTGAATCGTAAATTCTAGGCAACTAGTTCTGAGTCTGTCTCTCCACTCGAGTTAACGCTTTATGATCTGGAACATCGAGATAAACGCGCCGCTCCACTAAGGTGGTATACACACTCAACGTTCTACCTCTTGTACAGACTTAATGAGATACTTTAGAACTTCTCACTGATGAAAGGTAATCAGAAAGCTGACCTCTACTGACGTCACAACACCAAGGTCACCGTGACCTCAGAGGATTACCTGGAATACGATTTGAATGAGTGAATTTTACTAGGAAAGGGTACAGAAGGGACAGTACGCAATGAGGGCCTCGGTAATTTATTTCAATAAACCAGCAGCACATTACCAGGCATATATTTTTACCTCGATTTACTGTCAGTTTAAATCAAGGTGACTTTGGAATTTCCGCAAACTATCAGTAGATCATTAAGACACAGTCGCTTTAATTAAACAAGGCAGTAAATAAGGCTAATAAGCGGACATTTAATTAAAGCGAGGATCATCGCCTTCAGACCAGGAAACAATGCATCAATTAGGGCATTTTAATTAAAATGGCAAAGAGAAAGACCGGGAAGCGCTGTGTTTTTTTCTTGAACGGTTGAACAAACTTTCTTGCCAGATGGCATAATGAAGGCTCTTTAAAGGGACAATAATATGATCATCTAAAGTCCAATGTCTCAACGAGTACCTGCATATTTAATATTTCCGTAATGAAATTTACTGGCAGCATCTCCAGAGTATCTCTAGTGTATTAAATGCATTGACTTTGCGGTTAAGACCAGAACTCTAATACGCGTCAATAATGTATTAAAATGATTGTTGAGCAGTTGGCCAGCCGACAAGTTGATAAAAAAGATAAAATACATAACCTACGGGCTTCCAAATTCGATTTTAGTAGATACATACTTATCGTTGGCATGCCACACGCGTCATTGAGTGAAATGGACTCTTTCTCCTATTTGGCAAGTGCCTCGGAGTCGGGATTCACTCTCTAGACCCTGGAGGCAGTAAATCACCGTTATCTCTCCGTGAGTTTATCCAAGCAATGGCACTTAAGTCTCTTCCATCTTGTCTGTAACGAGAGTTGCGTGAGATCAAACTTGAGCGTCCTTTCATTGCTTTAGGTTAAGTGGGTATTATTCATCTTGATTGCAGAAGGGCAGCCACATCAAGGGAATATCGATCGGTGTGCGATAAAGAAATAAGTATCGGTTGGTTCTACTGCCTCTGCCAATGTACTTATGACCACAAGTGCTGTGCACTAAACTAGTACATCATATTTTTATAAAACGTATTTTTATACACCCAAAATGCTTCAGCTCATTATTCAGTTGATTATAAAGTAAATTTTCAATTTGATATGATTGTGATACAAGTAATAACTATTAAAATGTTAGGGAAACACTGAAGTAAAAAAAAAAAGCAACCCACCTTTTACTACAGAAAATGGGCTTAAAGAGCGCTGCTGTAGATTCTGTCAGTATCCATTACTTCCAGGGGCGGATTTAGGCCGTCTTCTGGGTCTTCCGGAAGACGGTCAGATTTTTAAGTTTACATTGACGGGTATCTAATATTTTCTGTCGGAAGACGGTCAAAAATTAAGGACGAATTAACAAAGAAAATCTGGAAGACTGTCAGAAAATATGTCTGGATCCGCCCCTGACTTCTATATACTTAATAATTGCAACAGACATAAAGTTTTGCAATATATAATGCAAGCAAGAGTCGCATGAAAACAAAATAAAATGGCAACTTATTTTCATTTTAGAACATTAAGTTTTCAATGGCGGTCCGTAAGTTTTGTTATTATGAACAAATGAGAATGTTCTGTTAATCGATAATAGTTTTTTTTTGTCTTTTGACATACATTACAGACTGTAGACGTGTTTTTAGTCGTCTCGATCTATTCCATGAGAAAAATCTGTACAGTTAATCCTATTCATTAGGAATGTGCGCAACGCAATAAATACAGATCACACGCGATCTGAGGCTCATTTAAATGCGCTTTCTGAATTCTGGAACAGTGTGATGAAGATTAATTGAAAACATGTTTATTCGTTGTTATAAATAATGATCGGGATAATGATTTGCTCTATGTACAAAGAAGGAAATAAAAAATGAGAAACTGCGTCATGAAGTTACATGTTCACGCTCTTGGCTTAAACACAGTAATGGAAAATAACAGTATATTGCTAGTTGTAAGATTACAAAACCGTCGATTTACTGAAATATTGCCTCGACACTATTTATTTTACTTGTGCTCTTAAAACAAAAATATAAATGACTTTCAACAGTCGGCTATCCGATTTTAGCAGTCTAACCTAATCCAAAGATTACTTTTCCGTGCAACGAGTTCATGGTGCTTTGGTTCCACGCTAAGATACATTTACTCCCACCCATCTCATTCCACCAACACCACCCCGCTATACAGAGAGCAGTAGCGGAGTCTTGGTTAGATGATTTACTGAGTTTCAAATTAAAATTTTATGATCAGATGGGCTTAAGGGTGATACCCCAACGCCGGCAAGGCAAAGCGAGAGGAACCGATAATCCCTGGGTTCCGCTAAGGAAAAAATCAGAACCGTTGTGGTGTTTGGCCTCCGGTGTTGTTGACTTAAGACTAAAGTTGAAGACTGAAATACCTCAATTTCACCTGGTTGACCTTAACATCTGTGTTTTAAGTTCACGGCAGAGAACCTTTGTAGCGTTCTAAACCACGGTGTAATTAAAAGATGGGCGCATCTGTTTGGCGATGTATGTATATATATATCCCTGTTGATGGTTCGCACCGAATTACAGTGATTTTTCATTAGTCAAATATACGAGGTGGTCAAAACATGCGTCAATAAGAATCAGTTTTCAATCCCAGTGTGGGATTAAGGATGAATACTATGTCAAAAAGTATTCAAAATGTGTAGACATCAATGCCAGAGCAAATTTCGGAGCGTGGTCGAAAAGGGCTCCGATGAGCCGCATTACGCCTCTTCTCAAATGAAATGTGGGCATCGAAGGAGACGGGGGAGAGTATTGGGAACAAACGTCCCTGGATACCCCTATAGCGATCTCGTTTCCCTTTTATCCGGAACGTTAAATCAATACAGGCACGCCTACTGAGCCTTTGGCAGGCAATACGCAACTGATCGCACACGGTTCAGATACAGTAGAACATTCCTTGAGCCAAATATGTTCATGGCGACCTCATCACGTTAGATTAATTAAGAGGACAGAGTTATTATGATCCAGTGAAAAGAAAAATTAATATATTGTGCGCATCTTCTGGGGCAAGCTGTAAGAAAAAAGATTGTTAATCACGGAAGGAAAGCCAGTGAAAAGAATATCTAAATTAAATCTTGAGTACAGGATATTAATGATCAATGTTGCAACATTCATAGAGAGGATAAGGAAAGAAGACGGTCTAAATTGAATGGTTCAGAACAGCCATTTTTTTTGCGTGTAACCCCCTTTTCGATCAAGCCGTTGCCGGACCAGGTCAATCATTCTACAATGAGAAACGTTATTGAACGGACAATATGATGAATATTCCCAATCAGCACGAAAGCCCACACTTTAATCATTTTTCTTTTATTATATCAAATATCGATACCACATAGCCTATGCTGAAAGATTTATAAATAAAGAGAACAAGTTTGATCGAAAATTTAACCAGGTTTGTCACTGGGGAAACATCAGCATTCCCTAGTATTTCTGAGATCAGCATGTTAAGTCCACGGTGCATCCTTAGCTTTAAAAGTAACATTCAAGCAATCTAAAGGGGGGAAACCAATCAATGCTCTATCCATGTACTTAACACGTGTTTTTACCGGACGTTACATTAAATGACAGCTATCACGAAAGGCGGTTTCCCAGTCAAACAGAAAAACTGCTTAGTACGCTAACTGGGACAGTACGCTTGCATTCAAATCCTTGTAAATTTTATTTTCAAAATATGCTATTCGGAACAAGAAAGCTCGCGGATCAAATATGGCCATCCACCGTTTGCCGCATAATGGCCTCATAGACACTGAATAGATTCAAATGGTTCAACAACACAACGAAATCAGAAAGATACACGCAAAATAATTTCAAGTTTCTTAGCTAACTGATATGTACAGCCTATCGGTATCCATGGCAACGGACAGTAAGCCCGTAGGTAAATATCATGTAAAGAGTAAAGAGGTTTGGTTTTCGCAAAATGAAAATAATTGAACAAAACAAAGAGCAAATGCTCTCGCAAAATGCTCTTTGTAGGCAAGTGCTCGTTCCAAATTTAACTTTTGTTCTATGCAGATTGATCCAGCGGGCATCCTCGCTGAATACAATCAGCTTAAGTGATTAACAGGCCTCCTCCTAGCGATGAGTAGAATACAGAAAGGCTTTGAAACAAGAGGATGCATGTTAAACCTGGGGATTTGGATCGATGGACCTAACACTTTAGTTTCATTACCTTCGGTTATAAAATGCTTTTGTGATATAGTCTACATCTTTGCACACATTATTTACATATGTAGGCCTACTCATGATAGCGGATGCACTTTTTTGTTTCCATTTCGTTTTATTATTATTATTATTATTATTATTATTATTATTATTATTATTTCACAAATTGCGGTAAATAAACAAAGAGATGCAACTTGGAAATTCAAACGTAAAACGAGCATCGCAATAAGGGTTTGTGTGTTTATTTGTGTGAGGAGATAGACGAACCAGTTGCTCTTTAGACGCAATCTTAACTCATGTTCACAAGTGGCTATGATAGTCCTCAACTAGGCACACGAGTATTC